CGTCCGTCCGTCCGTCCGTCTTCCGTCCGTCCGTCCGTCCATCAATCAATCAATCATTTTATTTAAAAACTCGCTTAAAATCTTCAGTAAGTACAATATTATAACAATCTAAGTACAAATATTACATTAATTAAAAACTATCATATGCTGTTTTACAAGATTGTCGAATGAGAATCCGATGACTCAAATACGCGATTGATTTGCGTCTTGAACTTAACAATCGATTTAATCTTTCTAATGTTTCTAGGCAATGAATTCCACAATAAAGCACCGCTGTAGCTGAAACTACGTCTCAAATAATTACTACGCGGCCTTGGCAATGTCAATTTGCCGAAAGAGTCACGGAAATCATAGTCTGTGCTTTGTTCGTTGACTAGGTCCTGCAAGTACACTAGAGCTAACTCGTTAAAGGATTTAAACATCATTGTCGCTTTTTGTTTCATTCTTCTCAGTACTAGCTTTTTCCATTTAAGGGTTTCAATCTTTGTTCTGTTGCTGTTTGCACAGTTCCAGAATCTATTGTAGTACATTAATTCATCTCAGGAAGCTAGTTATTGTCAAAGGAACATAATGCATGTGAGGGTTGATAGATTTTAATTTTAATTCTAATTTTAATTTTGATTTTAATTCACCTCAACAAGCTAATTTTTGTCAAAGGAATATAATGTGAGGGTTGATAGATTGATTTTAATTTTTCGAAAACAGTTTGTTTAAATATATGCAGGTAGCTTGCAGTTCGCGAAGCACACGCTGGACTTGACTTGACTTGACTTGACAGCGTGGACTTGAATGAAGCCAATTTTGGTTCTATCCGTCTGTTTTTTATCGCTCGTTACTTCGTAGAACTGTACGAAATTTCTGTAGTTTCTATAATAAATAAACGGTGGAATAATCTGCATTCAAGTAATTCGCCTCAACTGACCCGCAGATAACTAAAAATTTGATTGCGTTAAACGTTTCGCACGACAAAGCACGACACATGCGACATTGTGACTTCACGATAAGAAATCGAGCGGTTGCGAGCAGAAGTTCCCGCTCGTCTCTCACCGAGCAGAAAGAGAAGGGAATCTCTGTCTCACAAGGTAGGGTCGAGTTTGCCTCGAGATGGAGAGGCTCCACTGTACTAACCTATATTTTTCTGTCATCTCTTCATTTGATCATCAGTGATTTGGCTTCATTTTAAAATCATTACGTGTTTGGGCGGGCCAGAGTACGGCTATATTTAGTCACCACGTTTTGGGGCGATATCAGAAACCTTACGGCTATATTTAGTCGTCACGTTTTGGGGCGATATCAGAAACCTTCATTGAACCATCACGTTTTTGGGCGGTATCAGACATGGTTTCATTTAATCCAGAGATTATCACGTTTTTTGAGGTTATCAGACCTAGCTCATAATTATGTACTTGGCATATATTTAATGCTTGAGTACCACTTCCATTCTTTTGTGTCACGTCAAATATCGTTTTCTTACGAACGAATCTATTTTTTGAGCAGCTATTGTCTATTTTCCATTGTCTCTTTGAATGCTTGTCTCTTTCAGCCGAAAGACTCAGACCTTTCTTTACGCGCAGTTATCTTGGCGCAAGCGGTCGTACCGTGTAATAACTGTCTAATAAATTAGCACATTTAGCACATTTGGGTCTCACAGTGTTACGACTATCAAAACAGAAAGGGAGCTGAGAGTTTGAATAGAAGTAACCCGATTCCTTCTTCAGACCGTAAACCTGGCGTACCGTTCCCTTTCGATTTTGTCATATTTTAAACAATGGGTGGAAAGGAAAGTTCCCACTTATTTAGCCACGCCCGTCTTGACTAAACTCTTGTGTGCTGGTGTTCGATGGCGACTGTTAAGACACCTTATTTGATAAGATCAGCCAAATTACACGTTTTATTTTCAAAGTTAAAAACTTTCTCGTAGAACCGGTTAACATACTGACATTTGGCCGCTGTCTTGCTGAAGTTGTAGACTGAAGATGAGAATTTCAATTCAAAATAAATCTTCACGCCAACTTCTCGTAAATAACTGCTGCCTGTTATGGGTTTCGAAACGAGCTACGTGCTTTAGATGTCTGGTTCGCCTTCACTGTGTATGAACAGTTTTCGTAGCTGGCATGTTTACCCGCGAGTTACACGTGTTGTTTTCACATTCATTAATTTGAAAATTTTCTCATATATAGGTCTTATAATTACAAAGGTAAATGTTGCAATTTTCAAGGCAGCAAAGGAAGAGAATCTTCAACGAATACTGCAATAATAGGATGTGATTTCTGATCTTGAATTCAAGATCACTTCGCTTTCGATTTCGAATTCGGATTGGTTTGAAAGGACTCGTTAACCACGCCCATCCTTATCGACTGAGTTATCGAGGATTGATGTCTTATGACGGTACTTGGGTAAGCTCATTTCACTTTCCTGTTGTCAAGATACAAAACGTTTTTAACGACATTCTGCTTGCTCGCAGATCAGATCATTAAATATATTCTTGGTCAACTTGGATGTATGTTACACTAGCTGTAATGTGAGGCACCTGAAGCACGTTGGAGAAGCAGAGATAGAGTTTAAGTATGTTTCTTCGACGCTTGCTCATTCATTTCTGTTTTTATAGGAAGGTAGGGACGCTCAATCACTTACTTACAAGCTACAACACAAGTGCACTTACTGCAATAGAATTATTTTAGGAACATTTAAATCGTTAGTTAGTGCCTCTACGAAAATAAGGGGAATAAAGAACACATTGTAACGGTTAGTTTTTGTATTGATTGACAACTATTGGCTGAATAAAATAATCGAGGTTACCATTTGACTGTTTGCATTAAGTATTCCTTGAATGATAATAAGGTAAGAAAACACTAAAAGTTGTTAAAGCCTCTGGATTATGTCCAGCTGTGGTCACGAAACCGCGTAGCTACGTAACTTCTCGTAACCGCATGGTCGCGTGGCCAAGTATAGCCGCGCGGCAACTTACGTAGACTTCTAGCCCCATCGTCACGTATCACGCCACGCGTCTTTGACAATGTCTTGATTAATATGAGGATCATAACAGGACAGACGCATGGGCTATCCCAAAACTGAATTCAGTCTTCCCAACGCGAAATGTATACCTTGCTTGCTCTAAATTAATGGCAGACTTAACGTGCGTTGACGTCACTTAGTGTGAATTAAGATCAAAGGTCAACTGCTCGTCGACGACATCAAATGATCATTGTCCATTTATAACGGCGTTGATGACGTTATAATTAGTAACAAGGGGGTTAATTAGAAATCATGCAGTTACCTCGAACGTTAACGCAGTGCAGTTTAATCCTACTATATCGAAGTGTCAAGGGAAACGAAAGCAACGTTCGAGATGTCCGGAGCTCGAGAAATCCTAGAAAGTTATTTTAAAGTGACTGAGAAAGTTTGTCTAGTAAAGGGGGAATGAGTCGAATTTGAAATAGCGGGGAATTCAAGACAATCGAAGTCCAGATAGAGAAGCTCAAATGTGGTAACCTAGATTTTTCTATCATTTCTTCATTTGTTCATCACGTTTTTGGGCGGTATTAGAGATAGCTTCATTTCATTCAGAGATCATCACGTTTTTGGGCGGTATCAGACATCGTTTTCTTACGAACGAAATCTATTTTTAAGGAGCTATTGTCTATTTTCCATTGTCTGTTAGGGTGATTGCTCCTTTCAGCCGAACGAACCAGATCTTTCTTTACGCGCATTTATCTCTACCTTGCTATAATTAACTGTCCAACGAATCAGTACATATGCTATTGAATCGTACATGGCAGATATTCGGGGAAAAGGCTTGGATTTCATCTACTGGTGAGCAGAACAGGACGATTTGCTATAGTAGCAACCTCTCTAATTACCTACAAGTAAAGTTGAAAGCTTCACCCCAGGGGCTATGCAGCAATTTACGTTCTTGGAGTTATTTTTATAACTAAAATCCACTCGAGTTTTGTTTGATTATATATGCACAACTGGTCTCAGTGTGAAAGTTTCTCTGATAGCGAATTTGATTACTGGAACTGAAATTCCTGTCAAATTATGATATTTTTATAGTGTTTTAACTGCACTATAACCATTAAAATGAATGTTCCGCGATAGCTGAAGACTAAAATATATCTGCGATCGATTTGCAGTGGACGATCAAGAACAATTATGACAGTTATCGCTGAACCGTCCTGACAATTATAGTTACACCACTCTTTGACGTCTTTTTTTGTCGCCGTGGTAGCGCTGCTTAGTGAAGTGTACAACGAGTGCTATAAATTGGATCAAAGTCAGAAGTGCAGAATTTATCGAGACACGAGTGTGTTCTTGACAGCCCCTGCTTCATTCTCCACTGGACGGTTCCGTAGATGAACTGCATGACACCCACTCCTGCATCGAAGATTCAAAACGTTTCATAGGTAAGAGATGTTATTGCCGTACCGACAAGTGCCTTGAAGCTTGTGAATCTTAGTAGCTGGTGCCATGTTTGGCTTACTGGGTGTAATGATCCAGAAGTGGTCTGCTTTCTTAAAAACCCTGCAAAATTTCTCGATAGCAACCGCGCTAATTATAATGAGTTCCTACATTCTTTGTAAAATTATAAGTTTTTTTAACCCGCGTCGTTCAAAAAGTACTCACCGGGTTCAAATTCCTCGGTACAGTTAATCGTGTCATGCTCTTTCAGTGTTCAGAGCTGATATTATTTTAGCTAGCTCGATAAGACACTTCATCGCCTATGCTAACGAGGCAAATATTGCAACATATAAAGACTCCCCTAAACAGTGAATCAGTCTCTCTGTTGTACAGCGGAGTTTGGACCCACGGTAATCCCGAGACCGATTCAGTGATAAGAAAAGTCTACTTGTATGGTATCGTCATTCCAGCTTATTTTTTTGTAAATCTGAATCCTTTGTTTCAGAAAAAGCAAGTATCAGTCGTTTTGGAATTACTGCAAACATAATGAGGGCAAGGGAACGGTTTTCGTGCGCCGTTGGAAATGTCTTCAACGACCTGTACTCGCAGCTCATCTTCTCATTCTTGATTATATTCCTCATGAAAGTCGTGGAACTTTCAGCTTCACAGGCGGGGATGATGGTGCTGATTGCACAAATTTCAGACGCCTCGATGTCTCTGATAACAGGGTACCTTGGAGACAATGTCAATGTTCCTTTCCTATCGAAAAAAATCGGCAGACGAAAATCTTGGCATCTCGTTGCAACATTTTTAATGGCAATCGGAGTCCCTTTTTTGTTCAGCAAGTGCTTTTTGTGTGATGGAAGAGATCAAAGCTGGATTCCACTTGTCTACTTTGGCTTCTTTTCGGCGTTGACAGGTGGCTGCTTTAGCATGGTGGAGATAAATCACTTGGCATTTGTCACTAATGCGGCTGACAAAACTTCGGAACTAACAATACTTACTGCCTTGAGGTTAGAGCTAAACAACTACGATTTTTAAATTTTTAGTTGTTCATTAGTTTCCAGTTATGAGGGTGACAAGTGTTGCAAGGGATACTTAAACCCGTTAAGCGTTCTGCATTCACGAGATAAAGATGAACTCGTGCCAGCTTTATTTAAGAAATAGAAAACACGTTCCGTGTTTCTATCGATCGATCGATCGATTGATCAATCAATCGATCAATCAATCGATCAATCAATCAATCAATCATTCATTTACCCACGTATCGTCTAGTGAGCTAAAAGCTCGTTCAAAGTACGTACCCGCGGGTAAAAGACGAAAATAACAAAATGAAAAATATAATATTTCTATTATATTGTTTTTGTAACTCGATAGAAACACATAGAACATGTTTTCTATTTCTTTTGGAAAATTCCGCCACCAAAAAAGAAAGCAACTTGTCTACTTTGATCATGAAAATGTAAATTTTCTTTGCTCGCGCCATCATTTTGTCAACAGCTCGTGGTAGTTCCGTGTTTCTATCGAAGTCAAATAGAAACATGATTCTAAACCAATCAGCGCGTGTAATTTGGGCTATTTTCTATATATATATATATATATATTAATTATGCTCGTTTGATTTCCTTATCTAGGACAATGTTCAGCTTCTTAAGTGGTGTCTATGTTTACATCGTCGCCTGGGCTCTTCTTGGCCAAGACAGTGGAGATAACCTGGGGCCTGACAACCTGACAGATTTTGCGGTTAGTAGAATAACAGGCCGTGTAATCTGTTGCTTGATTTTTCGAAAAAACAAAAAGAAGTAAAAATGATTTCATTGTCGCGCGCGCATTCTTGCAATTACGTGGAAAGTTTGAAGCGCAGAGAATTGAACAAATCCTTACAGATTTCATTGCCGCCTTTTCCCTTCTCAATTTGTTCACATTAGTCCTGAGTTCAGCTTCTCGGCCATGCTTGAAAATAGTCAACTGGTGTACCTCCCGTCAGTTCGGATTTTAATCAAGTTATTTTCATTTATATTCTTTGTTTTCCTGTTTGTTAGCCGCTGGCCTTGGGGGATTGGGCAATTCAGGTATTTATTTATTATCTGTTATTGATATCACAGTATCTCTCTTGGATTACAACCGGGACAGGAGTCCTTTTTGCAAACGCTTTCTACATTGGGACAACGGAACTCAGGAACCGTGTACGAAAATCTAGTACATATATGGATCTTGCGGTAAGAAAAGAATGATTAAAACTTTCAATGCCTTTAATTTTGAGCAAAGTGCCTTTTTAAAGTATGATAACTTATCCTCTCTTGCTTATGACCAACACGAAACTTGCAATGGGACTTCAATCTTTCGCTGGCAAGAAGTACAATGCATCCAGCTGTACAAAGATGTACGACTTCTAACACTTTCAATCTCAAGGAAAATGTAACCGTGATTACACTTTATGGCATTCTGTATGTCATAATCATTCCCAACTATCAAATGCATTTACACGTACGCACTTTTAGATAGGGGAAGTCTAAATCTAGTTTCAAGACAGCGAAGAGAGAGGTTTTCAATTGAGTGTCGCAAAGCCAAAACCTAAGTAATCGCTCTGACCAATCACAAGGACACAGAAAATCCAGTGAACCGATCAAAACTCCAAGGAATTTCATGCAGTGCAGAAAAACGAGTGGGAGTGAGTCACGATTGGTTTTGGTTTTACTTCTAATTGGATGAAAAAGTGGCGCGACCTATTCAAGGCAATCGTTCAGCGTATTTGATGCAATACCAATCCGCCGAAGGAAAAAAGATGGCGATCGGTACATTTACCCATAATTCCGAGCGCACGGAAACTTAAACAACGCTCATGGCACGGCGGAAAAACCGCTGATTGGCTGAAAAATCCGTTGTCTTGGAGCATGCTCAAGCGCTCGCCGCTGACAATTTGCGGCTGCNTGTTCGTTTTTGATTCGTCGTCCGCCATTTTGAAAATGGAAAGGCGGGAAGACGAACCGAAATCTACTGCGCATGAGCAGCGGTTTTTCCGCCGTGCCAACGCTCATAAAAACGGACGGGAACGTTGTAAAACCTTCAAACCCCGCGCAGACTCTGATGTCGATAGCACATGGACATGTACTGAAAAATTATGGCTTTCCTTGTACTTTACGGGCTGTATTAGGCTCGCATGGTATTGTGGTAAAATGTACAGCCGCCATCTTTTTTCCTACGGAGGATTGCTTTTCAACACTCAAATGAAAACCACTCTAATGTATCATGGATCAGTAGCTAAAGAAAAACTCTTGAAATACATGACACGTTACATGTGTTTTTGGCTCAATGTGAATTACCCCAAAGAGAACGTAGGAAAATAGTGCTTTGTTCTTTTTCATTTCAGTATACTGAGCTGTAACCTTGTAGGTCTTTTGCACGTTCTTATATATTCAAAACTGATTTTTTTTCAGCATGGCGGAGGACTTTTTATGGGAGTGTTAGAATTGGGAAATCAAAGTAAGTTTGAAATTACTGGTAATCAGCATGAAAAAAAGAACTGACCGCCAATAATTAATAAGGTTCAAATGCGGCTGAGGAGTTGGCTCCATGTTGTTACAAAATAGATTGACAGGAAAAGGGTACACTAACAAATTGAAATGTTTTCTTGCAATTGGTAATATTTACTTTAAATTGAGTATATAATATGAACAAAAGTAAAAAAATATATAGATTTTTTCATAATCGTTTCTTTCTTTTCTTTTTTTTTTGTTGAAGACTCTCGAAATACCAGTCTTGCTCATTCAATTGTTCACATGCTTGTGACTTCGTGGGATGAAAAAGCAGACCAAGAGGAAGAAGAACAAGACACCCCGGATCATGAAAATAATCGTCAGAGAAAAAGAAGTCTACTGCGGAAATTTGTTGATGTAATATTTTTTGACGAGGAGGAGGAGATTGATCATAGTCCATCACAAACTGAGATTGAAAAATCAACTCAGGGAGATCCTAAAAAAGGAAACAAGGAAATTCAGAAGGTTCTCGGAATAAAGGAAGGTCCACAAAGCGACGACACAAGAAAGCAAATCGTTCTAGAACTGCAGAAGTTACACCGTGATCGTAAGAAGAGCTTGTTAGTGCGTGTTATTGATGGACTCCTATCCAGATCAGACTACAGCCAACAAGATTTGTCGGCAACTGAGAGCATCGAAGACCCCGTTGCAGTCGACTTTGCAAATGATGAATATGCAACTGGGGACAGCTACTGGAAGCAAGAAGAACTTCAGGACATAGAAAGAGACGATAACCTGGACAACAACAATGAAGTAGATTCAGTTAAAGGAGAGCTGGAAATTGACCAAGAAGACAAGCCTACATCGGTTTCAGCCAAATGTAGGCAACGAAGAAGCGGAATCGTGTCGATTACAAGTGATGTACAACTGGGCCTACCCAACTTTGGTTTTGAACATGAAAGAAGTGATGAAATAGAGGAAGAATGCTCCAGCGACACTTCAGGCCAACGAAGACAAAAAACATCTGTCACTTTCAGCTTGTCGGAATTGCCTGTCCAGCCATTAACGAACGGAAATGGGGGAAAAGATTTAGAACTTGATGCGTCTGTTGAGAAGCTACCGACTGTCGCGGACAGAAGTCAGGAAGACGATAAAGAAACTGAATCTGTTGAGGATGGCTGTAATCCTTCAGCTTCAGAAGATAAACAGGAAGTGCTTGGTCTTCCTGTTTCATCACCAATTCATCCAGCTAAGAAAAGACGTCCTAAAACAATCAAACGCTGGCTGAGGGATCCAAGCTTGTATAAGGTTTGTTTAAGTAGAGTGTGAGAGGTTCTCAATAACAATAATCCTTGTTAAAAAAAGAATAAAAATGTAAGGCGGAAACATAAAGAACTATAATTGTAATAATAGCAAAGTTCTTATTCGGTGGCGCTTTTAAGAATCGCAAATTGCTCACAGTTATGACAAAACCAAAGCCTAGAACTTATGGAATAGTAAGCTAGCTAAACGTGCTAAAAGCTGAAGAAAAGGTTCAAAATGGGAGGGGGAAGGGGATGGTGGAAAGGAAAAACTGGTTTATGCAAGTATGACAACATTGTTTAGGACATAATCAGTAAAACAACACATCCTATCACGATTTAGACAATTGTATAATAGCAATTGAAGCTTAGTACCAGACTGAAGCTTCTGCACTCAAAATGCCTTGTTATTTTTAATCTTCAGGTAGCGATTGTCTACACATGTTCACGCCTTGTACAGGGTACAGTTTATACATACTTACCACTGTTTCTCACGGAAAGACTACTATTTGCAAAGGTAAATACTTTGACAGATTTCTTGGACTTTGTTTTCTACTTTGCCTGTAATAGCATTTAGAAAACCGTCCTAAGAAAATACGCGCGCTGATTGGTGAAAAATCGTGTTTCTATTAAGATTATGAGCTCGAGATTTCTCTCGCATGATAGTTGACGAGGGCGCAGCCCGAGCCAACTATCACGCATAGAAATCGAGAACGAATAAACTAATTGTTTGAGTATAAATCTACTAGTCGTTCAAAACTATATTTAAATCCTCTTCATAGACACTTCGAAAACGCCAAGAAGCGGCCGTCATTTTGTTAACATGGGTACACTGCTAGGCTACTCACTATCTATCACAGAATAGATAGTGAGTAGCGTGGCCAATCAGAGAATGGCATTCGTGATAGAACGCTAGTACATTTATGCTAAAACTCGATAATCAAAGTTAACAAGTTGTTTTCCTTTTTTCGTCGCGGTGTTTTCGAGTTATAGTATATAGCTATCGAGTTATAGAAACACTCGTGAAAGTTTCGGGGAACTCGAAAAAGCTGTGGAAACACTCGCCTGCGGCTCGTGTTCCCACAGCATTTCTTGTTCTTCCAAACTTCCACTCGTGTTTCTATAACTCGATAGAA